GGCGCGGGATCGGGCAGTGTTTCGTTCTGCTGTGCATGGGGTCGCTATGAGTCGGAAACGACTTGACGGCACTTAACAACAACAACAACAACAATATGAAGCAGTGTGTGATCAGAGCCAGGTGAGAGGTGGTGAGAAGCCAGTGCAGGGCAGATTTCTCAGGAAGGCCTGTACCCCCACAAGTTGGAAATGTTGCTTTGAACTGCTTCTCCTTGAAGGATTAAGCCTATAGACAAGAAATAACAGATGCTAATATTTGTGTCCCTGACCCAGAACAGGCCTCCCTCCATCTGTTTCCTGTAGTAAAAGGGAGGCATCCAGAAGGAGAAAGAGAAGCTGGATATATGACCAGAAGTGGGGACACAAAGACAGCAAAGAAGATGTAGGAGGAAGAAGTGGTTCAACACCCACAGAAGGGAAGACCCCATTATATTAACAGTGCTTATCTGTGGCTATTAGGAATATAATATTTCACTGTTTTTGTGTTCTTCTTTTCTATTTAAATTTTTTTCCCATGTGGAATATATTTCTTTGGTTATAAGGGAAAAAAGTATATTTATTTATTTGGAAGGCAAATCTTAGGGCAAGTATCAACATTTTTAAGCAAATCTTAGGGCAAGTATCAACATTTTTATTTCAGTAGGAGAATCTCATTCTTGTGTGGGTTCAGGTAAACCGGAAGTCAAAGACTTGAGTTTTTGCTTGTTTTATGAAGTAACATTGTACAGGGATTAAGTGCTTATGTTCTGGTATAAATAGAGCTATGGGCTTCAGACCTATTCTCCTGTGTAATTTATGTAAATTGCTTAATCTATTTGAACATAAGTCTCCTCACCTATATTATTTCTACAGATGTAGATTGCCCCATCTTCCTACTGAGGAATGGCTGGTGTGTTTGAACTGCCAGCCTTTTGGTTAGCAGTCAAATGCCTTAGGCACTATGCTACCAGAGCTCCCACTAATCAGATTAGAGGTTTGAATCCACCCAGAGGTGCCTTGGAAGGAAGACCTGGTGATCTACTTCTGAAATATCAGCCATTAAAAACCCTGTGGAGCACAGTTCTGCTCTGAAACACATGGAATTGCCATGAGTCAGAATCAACTCTACGGCAAATGCTTTTTTTTTTTTTTTTTTGGTAAGCACTCAGTAAATATTTGCAGGTATCACCAATGATATATCCTTTATTTGCTGAGGTAGCAGAGCCTGGCACTGCTCTCACTGGAAGATAGTGTGAATGTCAGTGAGGAGAGCCCTTGGTTCTAATAAGTTTCTTGATGTTTTTCAGGATGAAGATGATCTAGTCAATGCCTTGATCTGGCCAGAGATTCAACAGGAACTGAAAATCATTGAATCTGAGGAGGAGTTTTCCGCGATGCCACCACCACCTCCAAAGATAAGCCCAACTCAGCCAACCCCTGATTTTAGTCCAGGCTCTTCCGCTTCCACAGAGCTTTCTGAGAACTTATCCCGAGGCTCCGCCCCTGCCCCAGCTCTTCTGGAGGAGCGGACCGAGGGCTCAACCAATCAGAGCACACAGGAGGCTTCGCTTGCCGCTAGCGGAGAGAAGCCGGAGCCAACCAGCAACCTCCAGAGGGGCGAACCTGAGAAGGGGCAGCGCCCAGACCCCTGCAGCCTGGCTCCTCTGGAAATAGTTTCATTTGAGATGGCTTCTTCACAAGCAACGGTAGAGGTGGCAGGCTCAGGGAAGCAATCTCCTCCCCTACCTCCTGCTCCTCCCCCTCCAACTCCTCTAGAAGAAGCTCCTGGAGTCCCACTGTCGCAAAGTGGCCCTGAGACAGAAGACCCAACCGAAAATTTGAGGACAGATCCCTGTTTAGACCAGCTGAAGTCCAAAGGCAGCCCTGCCACCCCTAGTTTTTGTCAGGGAGACGAGGCCTCAGCGCAGGGTGAAAAGCAAAATCTAAAGAGTGCTGCTATCCCGGTAAAGGACTCTGGTTTGCCAAGCACAAGGGCGGTGGCGCTTGCCCCACAAGGAGAGGGGGATGGAGGGCATTCTGTGCAGGAGCCCTCAGACTGTGATGAAGATGATGCAGTGACAGACATTACCCAGCATGGCTTGGAGATGGTAGAACCCTGGGAGGAGCCCCAGTGGGTGACGAGCCCCCTACACTCTCCCACCCTGAAGGATGTGCAAGGGACCCAGGTACAGGGCTCCCAGGGCCACCGATTGGAGAAGAGACTTTCCCACAGGCCCAGCCTTCGACAGAGCCATTCTCTAGACAGCAAAACCCCGGATATGAGCCCGTGGACTCTCAAGGGCCCCTCTTCCAGCAGCTGTGCTAATCTTGAAAAAGAGAGAAATTCTGAGCCTCTGCAGCCACTGGTCTCTAGGAGCGAGATGACTGGATGGGAGGAGAAAGCCCCAAGGTCCTTCAGAGAGTTCTCTGGCCTGAAAGAGGCAGAGACCCTTCCCAGCCACAAGGGACCAGGTGATGTGCAGCTCAAACCAGCAGAAGCTAGTCCTGTCAGTCTAGCAAAGGAGCAGGCTGCACGCTTGGGGCAGGACAACCTGCACATTGAGCGTGGCAGTGTTCCAGGACCAGGGAGCTGCAAGGAGAGTTCACCTGTCGTACAGGACAGCACGTTGTCTGGAGAGCATCTCCCAAAGTTACAGCTGAAGAGCACTGAATGTGGGCCCCCAAAAGGGAAAAACAGACCTTCTTCTCTCAATTTGGACTCTGCTATTCCCATTGCTGACCTCTTCCGCTGTGAGAATGTGGCCTCATTTGGCTCACCTGTAATACAGCTGTCTGAGCTAGGAGACTCAAAGGACACATGGATGATCTCATCCCACTGTAATGCAGACCCCTGGAGAGTCCACTCCCAAGACCCACAGGACGTAGACATCATCGCTCATGCCCTAACAGGCCGCCGCAACTCAGCCCCTGTCAGTGTGTCAGCTGTGAGAACCTCCTTCATGGTCAAAATGTGCCAGGCCAGGGCAGTCCCGGTTATCCCACCCAAGGTTCAGTACACACAGATCCCACAGCCCCTCCCCTCTCAGAGCTCAGGGGAAGGTGGGGCTCAGCCTCTGGGAAAGAGCCAAGAGGAGCCCAGCTCAACTGGTGGGACCACTCAGAAACCCACCAAAGATGATTCTTTGTCCTCCTTGGAAGGCCCAAATGGAGAGAAACCAAAGCAAGATACAGGAATCATTGAGTCTTCACAAGTGGATGCTGCTGTATCCTGCGTGTGTGAGGGACCCACCCTTTCTCCAGAACCAGGCTCGTCTAACCTCCTCTCCACCCAGGACGCAATAGTGCAATGTAGAAAGCGAACATCAGAGACAGAGCCATCTGGGGACAACCTTCTCTCTTCAAAAATAGAGCGACCATCTGGGGGTTCTAAGCCTTTCCATAGGTCAAGGCCGGGAAGACCTCAGAGCCTCATCTTATTTAGTCCTCCCTTCCCTATAATGGACCACCCACCCCCCTCATCCGCAGGGACAGATTCCAGGGTCTTGCTGTCTCCTATCAGAAGTCCCATCCAGAGAGTTTCCCCTGGCCTTCTTTGTGGGGAGTTGGCAGAAAACACGTGGGTCACACCGGAAGGGGTTACACTTAGGAATAAAATGACCATTCCTAAGAATGGCCAGAGACTAGAGACATCAACCAGCTGTTTTTACCAGCCCCAGCGGAGATCAGTGATTCTGGATGGAAGAAGTGGGAGACAAATAGAATGATACCAGTTTACCTGCTGGTGTAGGGAAAATGGTATGATTCATCAGGAAGTGACTACAGGGCCAACTTGCCATTATTCCAGGCACACATTATCCAAGCTGGGGATTATTTTGGCTTCTTGATTTCTCTTTCTTCAGTTTTTTGACCATTTATTAATTATAGTCCATTTTCCAGAAGAGTGGTCAAGGGAAAGACCAAGAGATGAGATTTAGATAAGTCCATAAGAGCAAGGGAAGAGGTTGTAATGCTTGCCTCCAATAAAATTTGGGGCTTGTTTGTGAATTGCAGTACTCCCCATTACCATTAGCTATTACTATTGAGAGCTGGCTGTGATAATGTCCTTTGAAAGAAAGAGAAATTCTTTGCCTGTGTTGGAAATGTTGCTATCGAGATTTAAAGGTCTCCTCTTCATTTCATGCTTTCTAATGCTCTTTAAAGCATGTGTTCCTTCAGACCAGTTTTCTAACAAGCTTTGAAGAAGTGTAGTATCCAGAATACAAGCAGATTTGGAAATGCAAACTAACATGCACTTAGATATCCACATGGGTGAATTTACCATGCCTTTTTCCTGGAATCTCTGCCTACCTGTTCAAGATGGCTCCACATACCAGCATAGAAACTCAGAATCTATACTCAAGAGCAAACTCAGAGACTGGCACAACCCAAGAAGACTCTGACTTTTATTACTTTGGGATTCCAACTGCCACTGTACTGACCTCTGATTTGTAAATCCAGTAGCTAGGCAGGAGGGAAACTGATGAAGGTTACCTCGGTGAAACGTGTTGAATTTTCATTTCGGTGTGCAATAGCAAGGTGAAGTTATCTGCTTCCTTTTCAGTGTCAGAGTGCAAGAACAGGATATCATAATAGTACTCCAAACTTAATGTGTTTTAACTGATGGGCCTTAACAGGAAACACCTCACCTAGCTCCGCTCCACTTTTCTGTACACTAGGCTTGGGCTAGGAGTACAGGAGAGGATGAATGAGAGGCCCTAGGAGCATAGGGAAGAGCTCTAGGCTGGTGGCCCTCACCACCACTCGAGAGAGTGTCCTTCTTGAAAATGTATTTCATTTTAGACAGTGGGTGCCTTCCTTTGTCCTTTTCCCTCTGTTGCTCAAGAGCAGATTTGAGTTACCCCTCTCCTCTCGTCTACCACATACCCCAGGCATTTACATTTGCTCCTTTCTGTCCATTTATAAGCAGAAACAATAAACCAATTTGATTTCCTTTTAGTTACTTAGAACTTCCCAATGGTCCTTTGTTTTTCAACTGGAGACAGGAGAGAGAACTAATGTGAACTGTTTGCCATTTTGGTGCTCCCCAGAAAGGGCTTTACTAGAGCAGTTCTCAAGGCAAAACCATTAGTGTAGCAACTCTTTCAAACCTTCTAAGACAACCATCTTGAGAAATAAAGGAAAATAGGACCTATTTTTTGCCCTATGCACCTTTTCTTAGCTCCAAGCATGGCCAAACTGTCCAAATGCTCAATCATTGCAGGAATTTCTCTAAGGGCTAGCAATAGCTCTGGGCAGACCCCTTGACCAAGGCTGGTGCAGGTCAATATAGGAGCCAAGCTGAAGTTACCGCCTCCAATGAGAAACTGGAAGCAGATACCTTGCCGCTTATAGATGGATGTTCCTGTCTCTTCTTCCCTGATAAAACATACAGACACTTATTGAAATCTTACACCTTTTAAACCAGTGTGATAGCAAGTATCAGGTCAACTGATGAGTTCTGCCTTCAGAGAGCACTGAAATGGGTGAGCAAGGGGAGCATTTATTAGGCCTTTGACCACTTTTTTTTTTTAATTTTTTTTTTTTGCATTGTCCTTGAGTGAGCAAGACATGGGATCAGCAGCCAATGAGATATCAACCCGTAGGAAAAGTCCTTGGGCATAGCACTTTCCCCCTGGTCAAGCAAGGGGAAGAAATGCAGTACACTGACAGATGAGAAAGGCCATGTTTGAGAGATTGAAAAGCACATTCCTGCCTTATCATAAAATGTAGCAAGTAGGCTTTAAGTTCCAGTTAGAATGTGAGAGGGAAGGGACCACACTTTGCTTCCATCAGAACTCTGAGCCGAGTAATGAAATATTTAAACTGTTTTGTGATTATTTTAAATTCTTGTTTGTAACACTGCTAGAATATATTTTTATTTTGGTATAGACCGAGAAGCTACTATTTACATATTAACAATTCTAAGGGCTGAGGTGCCTATTCCGAGTTATAAACTGGCTGCCACATTCCTTTAGACTCTGATACTTTTCATTTGCAGCATATTCGGGAGTGTGGGTGTGTGGGTGTCATCATGAGAGACACTGTCATCATGTCATTGTTCTCTGAGCTTTCCTATCTACTCAATTCAACTAGGGTCTTGTGGGCTGGAGCTCGCCTTATGCTCATGAAATCCCACTCCATGGTCAAGAAGATCCATTTTACTTTTCCCCCTAGATTTTTCCCCAGAATGCCCTGGTGTTACTTGTTTATTCATCTCCTTGGGGGCGCCCTGGGGATGGTGGGTTGGGAGAGGATCAGATTGCCTTCTTCTGTCTGGGGAAAGGACAGAACAGGTGCTGTTGGTTTTAGGAGGATCTACCTGGTGTCTTTGAAAGGACTGCAGTTAAGTTTTCAAAAGACTTCTTAGAATCAGCTGTCAATCCTCAATGGCTGATTTTCAAGTGAAATGCATGCATGTACCAATGTTTTCTTTCAGCTTTAATGGTCCCTTAAGAAGACAGTTAGGAGCTCTGGTAGCATAGTGCCTAAGGCACTTGACTGCTAACCAGAGGGCTGGCGGTTCAAACCCACCAGCCACTCCTCCCAAGGAAGATGGGGCAATCTACTTCTGTAGTGATACTGCCTCAGAAACCCAAGGCGGGGTCGCTATGAGTTGGGTCCAACTCAACAGCACATAACAACAACAAAGAAGACGATTACCTATATTTATTTGCAAAATGCCCCTGCCAGGCCAAGGTTGTTTTTTTTGTTTGTTTGTTTTTTGTCCAAATGGACCAATGAATAGAGGGAATTTGGTTTTTGTTCTCTGCTTCACTTGGAGTATGAGAGACCTGACCAACCATGCCACTAAGACACTGTTGGCCTAATCAGAGCCCTAAAATTCAAAATAGTATCCAAGTCAAAATTCTATATTGTGGGGACATGAAAAATGTAATTATTATCAATAAGTAATATTTATCAAGAGATTAGTAATAATGCAGTGCTTTAGAGCTCCTAAACCCTTGAAGAATTTAATGAAAATAGCAGTGGGGGGCGGTTGTAGGGAGATAACAAATAGCCCATAAATAACCAGGGACAAGATTTAGGACCATTCAGAACCAAATGAAGGAGGGAGAGAAAAGTAGCAACTAGCATATTTTAAGGGAGCTCTGGTAGCATAGTGGCTAAGGCACTTCACTGCTAACCAGAAGGCTGGAGGTCCAAACCCACCAGCTACTCCTTGGAATGAAGACGGGGCAATCTACTTCCATAATGATACTGCCTCAGAAACCCAAGGAGGGGTCGCTATGAGTCAGGTCCAACTCGATGGCACATAACAATAACAACAGCATATTTTAAAATGACCGTTAGTGCTCAAGTGGCCTCAAAAAAAAAAAACACTACCATCCAGTTGATTCTGACTCATAGTGACTCCTCATTGGGTTTCCAAGGCTACAAGTCTACAGAAATAAATTGCCTCATCTGCCTTCCGTGGAGCACCCGGTGGGTTTGAACCACTTACCCTCTGGTTAGCAGTCAAATGCCAATGCCTTAGGCAATATGCCACCAGAGCTCTTTTTTCAAGTAGCTGACTGACTTTAAATAACCAAATAAAACATAATTGCAAATCCAATAGAAGGTACCAGTGAGACGTTCAGACATTGAGAACTTTGCTTTGATCATATAAAAAGAGTGGCAACTCAGTTCAACAGTTCTGACGTTTTGCATGGTCCTAATTGGTTTGGTTGAGAAGTTCTTTGGGATTTCTGCAAATGACACGCGTAGGAGCCATACTACGCGAGAGGGGATGTTAGAGACTTCTGTTATGGTAAAGAGGGTTAACTCCTGTTGACGACAAAGGTCCAAGAGAAGCTGTTACTTTCACAGCTAGTGTTGAGCACATGATAATCATATTTGATGAAATGGTGTAGTACAGTCATTTGTCTACATAGGCCTTGGGTTCCTGTCTGAAGGGCTATTGGGGAACATAAGATTTCTTTGTCAGGGATTGGAGTGGGAGAAGTTTCCAGCAGGTCCAAGACCCACTAGGATTAATTAGACTTACATTCTATCATGGCTGATCCTATCTGATGACAGCCTAAGTAGTGTGGTTAAGGGTTGCCAATAGTATGATTTTAAGAACTTCCAGCAGGAAGGCCAGCTTAAAATGTGCAAATCTGCGGTGACAAAGAATGTGTCCTCCTTTACTGTGCCTAACTCCTTTTCCAGCAAAGTAAGAGTAGGAAGAGGGAGGAAGCTTTCCAAGCAGGGGGCGGGGATGGTAGAAGGGTGAATGCCTGAGATCAGTGCCACTCCAGAAAGTTTCATATTGGGGGCCACCACAGACTGACCAGCACACAGCACCTTGTTTAGTAACCTTAAAGTTCATGAGCAATGTAGGGATTCCATCTCTATGAGGGTAAAGGAGGATGTAGCTAAATGGAAGGCCACAGGGTATACATAGCCATGTGTTTTACTGGATGAATCAAAATGCTTTGCAATCATTTAATGCCATAGTATTTCCTGGCTTATAATTCTGTAAGATAAAGCACTTTTTCAAAGGAGTCTATTAGAAAGCCACAGGATTTCATCTGTTTTTGAGCTCCTCAAATATATTTCCAAAGATATAATCAAAGTGTTTTTCTATTGACTAAGAAAATATAAATATTAAACATATCCATAAAGACAAATAAATGGAATTAAAACAGACTGTTAACGCTTTAAAAACTTACTCTAATAAATGACACAAAACAGTGATGATGATGAAACCGTGAGCTAGAGGAAG